TGTCACTGAGTTTGGGTTTGGTGTGATTTTTTATGATACAGACATCTAAGACTCTTAGTTACATAATAAAAATATTAAATCAATTTAGGCAGTAACTTCCTTTGTAAACTAAGGTCACATGCTGAAACACGTTTTAAAGAAGTAAGATAACTGAAGACTGCTGCCAATAATAGCGATAAGCCTTCAGTATAGAGCATAATCCTTAGGAAATTCTTGTTGTCACATAAGAGATAAATGTAGCCTGAAGTTAATAGTCTGATTTTTTTTTTGGAGGAGGGGAGATTACTTTCTTGCTGGAAATATATATCAGCAATTGTTTCTAGGAACTTTTGTTTTGTGCTAATCTGACAGGTTAAAAAAAAATGGAGGGTTAGCATTTCCCTTTATTCATGTCCAGAATTTCCCTGGTGGCTAGTCTTGCTTATTTTTCTAGAAACAGTTTAACTAGTTCCAAAAGGAATCATGATGATAGTTTTGTCATTGTTATTAAGTATTGTCGAGTCATTTCTGACTTGGCAAACCTGTGTGTAATAGAACAAAACAGCAACCATTCCTCTTTCATCCTCACAGTAGTTGCTATGTTTGAGCCCATTGTTGTAGCCATTATATCAGTCCATCTCATTGAGGATCTTCCTCTTTTTCACTGACCCTCTATGTTACCAAGCATGATGTCCTTTTCCAGGGATTGGCCCTTCCTGATAATGTGTCTGGAGGATGTGAGGTGCAGTCTCATTATCCTCACTTGTAAGGAACTTCTGGCTATACTTCCTCCAAGACAGAATTGTTCATTCTTCTGGCAGTCCCCATGATATGTTCCATGATATATTCAGTATTCTTCACCAATACCAAAATTCATATATATCAGTTCTTCTTCAGTCTCTTTTATTCATTGTCCAGCTTTCATATCACATGCATATGAGGTGATAGAAAATAATATGGCTTGAGTCAGGTGCACCTTAGCTCTCAAAATGATAGCTTTGCTTTTTAACACTTTAAAGAAGTCTCTTGCAGCAGATTTGCTTAATCCAATATGTCTTTTATTTTCTTCACTATTGTTTCCATGGGCATTTTATCAGTAATTAGCTCTTTATTAGAGCTTAGTATTTGTCTTTTGTAAGACATTTCCATAATTTGCTTATCACTTTACCAGTTGAAGGATATTTAAGTTATTTATAATCTTTTCACCACTCATCTAACAATTTGTTGTACCATGGTGGTTTGCATGTTGTTGTGAGGTTGGAGGCTATGCCACTGGTATTTCAAATACCAGCAGGGTCACCCATGGTGGACAGGTTTCAGTGGAGCTTCTAGACTAAGACAGACTTGGAAGAAGGAAGGAGCCATCCACTTTTCAAATATTAGCCAGTGAAAACCATATGAATAGCAGTGAAACACTGTCTGGTGTATCACTTGAAAATTTTATGAATAGCCCTGAAACATTGTCCAATATAGTGCCGAAGATGAGTTCCTCAGGTCAGAAGGCACTCAAAATACAACTGGAGAAAAGCTGCCTCCTTGTAGTAGACCCGACCTTAATGATGTGGATGGAGTAAAGCTTTCAGGACCTCCATTTGTTGAGGTGGTACAACTCAAAATGAGAAGAAACTGCTGCACACATCAATTAATAATCAGAACATGGAATGTGCAAAGTATGAATCTAGGAAAATTGGAAGTTGTCAGAAATGAAATGGAACACATGAAGATCGATATCCTAGGCATTAGTGAGCTAAAATGGACTAGTTTGGGCCATTTTGAATTAGATAACCTTATTATCTACTATGCTGGGAATGACAAGTTGAAGAGGAATGGCGTGGCATTCATCATCACAAAAAATGTCTCAAGATCTATCCTGAAGTACAGTGCTGTCAGTGATAGGATAATATCTGTGCGCCTACAAGGAAGATGAGTTAATACGACTGTTAATGAAATTTACACAGCAATGACCAATGCCAAAGATGAGGAAATTGAAGATTTTTACCAACTTCTGCAGTATGAAATGGACCAAGCATGCAATCAAGATGTGTTGATTATCACTGATGATTGGAATTCAAAAGTTGGAAACAAAGAAGAATCACCAGTAGTTGGAAAATATGGCCTTGGTAATAGAAATGACACTGCAGATTGCATGATAGATTTTGCAAGACCAACGACTTATTCATTGCAGATACCGTTTTTCAACAACATGATCGGCAGCTATACACATGGACTTTGCCAGATGGAATACACAGGAATTAGATCGACTACATCTGTGGAAAGAGATGATGGAGAACTTCAATATCTTCAGCCAAAACAAGGCCAGGAGCTGACTGTGGAACAGGCCATCAACTATTCACATGCAAGTTAAAGTTGAAGCTGAAGATAATTAAAAGAAGTACACAAGAGCCAGACTACAACCTTGATTATATCCCTCCTGAATTTAGAGACCATCTAAAGAATAGATTTGATACATTGGCACCATTGACTGAAAACCAGAGGAATTGTGTGATGATGTCAGGAACATCATCCATGAAGAAAGCAAAAGGTCATTAAAAAGACAGGCAAGGAAGAAAAGACCAAAATGGATGTCATAAGAGACTCTGAAACTTGCCCTTGAACAGAAAGTAGCTAAAGCAAATGAAACAAATGACAAGATAAAAGGCTGAACACAGAGGATTTAAAAGAGAAACTCCAGAAGACAAAGTCAGTTATTATAATGAAATATGCAAAGATCTGGAGTTAGAAAACCAAAAGGGAAGAACACATTTGGCATTTCTCAAGCTGAAAGAACTGAAGAAAAACTTTAAGCCTTGAGTTGCAATATTGGAAGATTATATGGGCAAAATGTTGATGATGCAGGAAAGATCAAAAGAAGATGGAAGGAATGCACAAAATCACTCTACCAAAAAGAATTGGTCAGTGTTTATCCATTTCAGGAGGTGGCATATGATCAAGAACCAATGGTACTGAAGGAAGAAGTTGAAGCTGCACTGAAGAAATTGGTGAAGAGCAAGGCTCCAGGAATTGACAGAATACCTTTTGAGGTATTTGTACCTATATTTATACTCATTCCAAAGAAAGGGATCCCACAGATGGAAATTATCAAACAGTATCATTAGTATCACAGCCGAGTAAAATACTGCTGAAGATAATTCAAATATAGTTGCAACAGTATACTGATAGGAAACTTCCAGAAATGCAAGCTGGATTCAGAAGAGGACTTGGAATGAAAGATATCGTAGCTGATGTCAGATGGATCTTGGCTGAAAGCAGAGAGTATCAGAAAGATGTTTGTGTTTTATTGACTATGAAAAAAGCATTCAATTGTGAGGATCATAACAAATTATGGATAACATTAAGAAGAATGGGAATTCCTTAGCACTTAATTGTGTTCATGAGGAACCTATACATAAACCAGGAGGCTGTCGTTTGAACAGAACAAGGGGATACTCCATAGTTTAAAATCAGGAAGGGAGTGTGTCAGGGTTGTATCCTTTTATCATACTTATTCAGTCTGTATGCTGAGCAAATAATCCGAGAGGCTGGACTATATGAAGAACACAGCATCAGGATTGGAGGAAGACTCGTTAATTAATAACCTGCAATATGCAGATGATACAAATTTTCTTGCTGAAAGTGAGAGTGACTTGAAGCACTTACTAATGATGATTAAAGACTAGTCTGCAATATGGATTACCTCTCAACATAAAACTAGAATTCTCACAACTGGACAAATAAGCAGCATCATGATAAATGGAGAAAAGATTGAAGTTGTCAAAGATTTCATATTGGTTCCACAATCAACACTAGTAGAAGCAGTAGTTAAGACATCAGGCAATGTATTGCACTGGACAAATCTGCTGCAAAAGACCTGTTTAATGTGCTAAAGAGCAAAGATATCTCTTTGAAGCCTAATGTGCACCCAACCCCAGCCATGGTATTTTCAGTCACCTCATAGGCGTGTGACAGCTGGACAATGAATAAGGAAGACCAAAGAAGAGTTGATGCTCTTGGTTGTGGTGTTGGAGAATAATGCTAAGAGTAACATGGTCTTCTAAAAGGACTAACAAATCTGCCCTGGAAGAAGTACAGCTAGAATGCTCCTTGGAAGCAAGAATGACCAGACTTCATCTGACCTACTTTGGTCATGCTGTCAGAGGGGACCATTCCCTGAAGAAGGATATCATACTTGGTAAAGTGGAGAGTCAATAAAAAAAGGGAAGGCCCTCAACAAGATGGATTGACACAGTGCTGCTACAATGGGCTCAGGTGTAACAAGGATTGTGAGACTGGCACAGGCCCAGACAGTGTTTCATTCCATTGTACAAACGGTTACTATGAGTTAGAGCTGACTTGATGGCACCTAACAACAACATAATCTTTTACCATTATGAATAAAGGCCCTATAAACAATTACTTACAGAATTTTGTGTGAACATATGTTTTCGTCTTTGGGTAAATATGCAGGAATGAGAATGCTGGGTTGTATGATTAGTCTGTCTGACTTCATAAGAAACTACCAAACTGTTTCCCAAAATGGCTATATATTTGTATTCCCATCAACAATGTATGGGAGTTCAAATTGCTCCACACACCTTTTGTAGCACTCAATATTGTCAACTGATAAAAAAAAGTTTGGGAAATAGAGGTGGTGATGGTTGCACAGCATTGTGAATGTAATCAGTTCTATTTTTAAGTATGCTTAAAACACTAGTAGAAGCAGTAGTTTAAGTATTTTAAGTATGCTTAAAAATGGTAAAAATGGCAAATTTTATGTTTTATATATATATATATATATATATATATATATGTATATATTTACCCAATACAGTGAAATAAATAATAGTGGAAGATAGTGACATTTTCAGATGTGATTATATAGTAAAGATATGTCATTTTTTCATTCTGTGAACCCTTATATGAAATATGGTCTGTATTTGTATTTCAGATTATTAAAAAACTAAGGACACTGGGTATATTCAGGCATTCAAAGTGAATTTGATTTGACCTTTTAAGTTATTTTAATTTAGAAGGGAAAAATAGAGAAACTTCTTACTTGTGAGAGTTTTGTTACCCTAAAATGAGTACTGGTCTGAGTAAACATGACTCAGGTTAGTTATAGCTATTAATGTGCTCTTGAATCTGATTTGTAAGTTTGGCCTAAGTTTTATGCATTGTAAGCTGAATTGTATTTTTGATGTAAAAATGTTTAATTATTTTATATGCTTGCTCTTTCATAGGCTGTCAGATACAACTGCGTTAAAATAGATAAACAACCAGTATACAATATAGAGGTAAGGGACTTGGAGTGGAGTAGTAATAGGAGAAAAATTTTTGTTTCATTATTTTTGGTTTTTTATGTAAAGACATAGGTTGTTTATACAACAAAGTTGCCTTGTATAAATTTGAAATGTGGTTTCTCTAATCAATGATGAGAAAGGAAAATACTCTTCTTTCAGAGCTCAAAACAGATATTTTTTTTTTCCCATGTGGTGATAAAAACTGACCACAGGTGTTAAAAACTTATCTTGTGATCATGACCAGTGAGATAGGTATCCCATTCTGCTCTCACAGTTTATAACTAGTGTAGTTACTACTTCTAAATTAAACTTGTTAATGTAATGTTTATAAAAGAGTATTATTTCTTTTATTTACTATTCATTCCTTTAAAATTGTTTTAGTCTATGTAGTCTTTCAGAGTACTTTTGACTTGCTAATAGTTCACTCAACTGATGACTTTTATTTTATTGTTAAAATATGACATATGTAAATATGTTTTGTGGAGCTCTTCCAAACCAAACTCATTGCTGTTGAGTCAGAACCGACCCATAGCAACCCCTTCTTGAGTTTCCAAGGCAGTATCACTATGGAAGTAGATTGCCCAACCTTCCTTCCGAAGAGTGGATGGTGGGTTTGAATCTCCAGCCTTCTGGTTATTAGTCAAATACCTTAGGCACTATGCCACCAGAGCTCCCTGTGGAGCTCTTAGAGATAAATAAATCCACATCTCCAATGTGATGACATTATAGCAGTTGTCAGTTTTTGTAAGTATTGTTGGTGCTTGATGATATCCTAATATACTGGGTATATCTTAATAGCCACAATTTATTTACAAGTTTAAACAAAAATAAAATAATAATTTAACACAAAAATAACTGTGTAGGTCAGTATTAACCAAATTTTACTAAATTCCCTATAAAAGTTTTCTTTTGGAAGTACTTTTCAAGACAATGGAGAATAATAAATACAGAACGGCACCTAACAACAACATATTTTTGCAGTTCCTTGTAATTATAAGACACTTACATATACATCATACTTTCTGAACCAACTAATGGCCCTATGAAGTAGTGAGGGCAGGAATTATCTGCAGTTTATAGATGAGGAAATTAAACTTCTTAATACAAGATTTAAATTTCACTCTTCTCTGAATCATAGAATTTTTCCATTTTAGGCTAAAAATGCTGAATTTCCCAGAGGTGTACTGAATTTAATAGAAAGCCTTATTGAAGGACAGTTTTTTAAAGAAGCGATGGAGGAACTCTCCTCTTTGCAAGCACATTATATTCCTCCTGTATGCCTTCTTCATACTCTTCTTGAGAACATTCTACAGGTAAGTGCAGGGTTATTAAGGGAGTATAATTTATTTCAAAGAATGTGCAAATATGAACATTTCCCCATTTTTTAGTATGTTTACAGTGTATTTTCTCTTTTCAGTTTTGTTTTTCATTTTAATAGGCATTGAGGTTCACATTTATTACCACTTTTTTCTGTTTTTAAAATGTTTGTCCTTTTGAAACTAGCTTGGATTATTTCTATCTTCTAGATAGTACTCTGAGGAGTTTTGGTAGTGTAGTGCCTAAGGCACATAACTGCTAACCAGAAGGCTGGCAGTTCAAACCCACCAACCACTCCTTGGAAGGAAGGTTGGGCAATCTACTTCTGTAGTGATACCACCCAAGGAGGGGTCGCTATGAGTTGGGTCTGACTCAATAGCACATAACAACACCAACAACAGATAGTACTCTGAGTGCTTTGACTTAAAATTTTCTCAATATCCAAGATAATTTTCTCTTGAAAAAAAGGTAACTCATTTTTTTCTGTCGGAGTAAAGTATCTAACATTAACATCAGATTACAAGGACCTAGATTGGCATTTGATAAATTACTACTTTACTACATTGGTGACAATCATTTTTATTCGTAGTATACATAGAAAATGAACATACTTCTTAAATTGTGAAAATCAATAGGAAAGCTTTTCAAAGGTATTATTCCCATCATGTTCATCAGTGTGCCAGTTTGAAGAAATAATAGGCTGAAGCGTTGCTGCACTAGTGTTGGTAATAAATAAGCATATTCCCTGAAAAGTTCTTTCTTTTAGTTCCTTTTAGGTGACATTTGTTACTGTTAATCACACTTGCTATAATCATGGAAAGGAAAATGAGTATTTCATAAAAGCTGATCCCAATAGCTAGGATTTCCTAATGTGTAGATATGTATTTAAAGTATGCTTCTCTCTCCATTGCAGTATTTAATTAACTAAACATGATACTTCTATCTGATATCCTTTGTCAAAAACACATAATTGGTAAGAAAGTTAGGGCAATAATATTGTTACAATTTGAGACTGGATAATGTGCTAAAATTACTTTTATCTATAGTGTTATATTTATTTATCTTTTTAAATAATAGGATAACATGGATACATTTTCTGGTCGATACTTTCATATATTGTCAGCTCTTCTTCACCTCCATCCTCCTTGGAAGTCCCCAGACATGTCAAGATATTATTTAGAGTTGTTTCAATGTCCAACATGTATGAAAGGAGCGTGGTCTCTAGTAGAAGTACTTATCAGGTAAGGAATTTAGTTATTGATGAAAGAAGTATATTTCTTTTTTGGAAAATAATATAATTGTGTGGCACAGTGGTTAAGTTCTTGGCTGCTAACCAAAAGGTTGGCAGTTCAAACCAGAGAAAGATGAGGCAATCTACTTCTGTAAGGATTTACAGCCTTGGAAACCCTATGGGGCTGTTCTACTCTGTCGTGTAGTGTCTGCGTGAGTTAGAATTTGTGCAATGAAAATAGGTTTGATTTCTTTGGGAGCATGTCTGTGTGTTGTATTTGCAAAACTTTGATAAAAAGGCTAAGTTGTAAATTGATCGTGTTTGTCAATCTGTTTATTTAACAAATAAATGATGAATAATGGAATACATGTACTAGCCTCAGGTTTGGCTAACATCATTTTTTGCTTTCCTGGGAAAACATATTTCTGTAGCAAATAATAAGTTTTTAAAAACCAATCTTACATAAAATAATTGACATATATTTGGAACTACCTAGTTGTAGTATATAGGGACTCTGGTGGCACTGTGGTTAAGGCGTTGGGCTACTAACCAAAAGATAAGTGATTCAAACTGACCAGCCACTCCACAGGAGGACGATGAGGCAGTCTACTTCCATAGAGCTTTACAGCCTTGGAAACCCAAGTCAAAATCAACTTGATGGCAGTGGGTTTGGGTTTGAGGTATAGTATATATGTATTTTTAACAAAATGCTAAGTATGCATATTGTTTTAAAAAGTAAGGAAGTAATATAGAAGATGGGTATCATCATTAAATTTTTGTTCTCAAAAGCATAAACATTTGTGACTTACATATAATATCTGTTTTAATGTTTCTGTTATATTTTTTCAGCAAGAAATTTGAATATTGAAATAGAACTTAAATGTTTCCTACATATGTCATCTGTTTATGCCTCTGCACTTGCTATCTTCTGCCTAGTATACGTTGTGTTTTTCTCAAGTGCTATCAAGTCAATTTGACTCATAGCGGCCTCATGTACAACAGAACAAAAACATTACCCAACCCTGTGCCATTCTCACAATAGTAGGTGATCTACTTCTGAAAAGAAATTAGCCAGTGAAAACTTTGTGTATAGTATATATGCCCTTCCTTTGTCTGCCAGATATTACCATGTCTGGAAATCCTTCCTATTTCTTCTTTTTTCTCCCAAACAAAAATTAATAATTTTCCCTTCTAGTCTGATAACACTCTATATCTGACAACCCTCCTTTCTCTAGGAAGATCTCTCTTTTTAACTAAGTGCTTGGTTTCAGGAGGTGTCCACAGTGGTGAGAGAGAAAGACTTATGGTTAGGTCTTTGGATCATAAAGATTCACTTGCCATTCTGGTTGAGGTATATTTGAAGGAGCCACCCAGGTATATATAGTATATATTTACTCATTCTTTCAACAAATGTTTACTGATTACTTCCTGGGAGCCAGGCACTATGCTACATTTCAGGGATACAAAGATAAATAAAGTAACAGTTTCTGTACTTTGAAGGTGACTGTACCAACACAACAGTACTAAGCCAGCATGCACAGGATGTGAGGGAAATATGGTTGATGAAGCTGAAATCCCTCTTAATTTTCAAATTTTCACTGCCATTGCCTTTATTTAAAATTGCTCATTGTTTCTTACATAAACTATTGAGGTGGTTGCTGAATTGATCATGATTCTGCTTTTTTCCTTTAATTTACCTTCCACAGCGCCCCATCATGCTCTTTCCAAAGTGGTCTTGCCATTTCTCAGATTAAAATCCTTCATTGACTCACACATCACCTGTAGATGACAGTTCAAATTACTTAGGAAACATGTAATACATGTTATCATTTATCCCTTGTAGATGTCTCCTTTCTCATCCCTATCACTCTCCCATATGTGCCCAGCTATTTTCCATTTTCTCTCTACTCTTATGTTTTCTCAGCCTTTCTCCATCTCTGCTCACTCCTCACCTACCTGGTCAGCCCTAATTATCCTTTAAAACAACTCAGATGCTATGTCCTAACTCTTGCCCTTTCTTTGGACTTAAGTTTGTCATTCACACCAGCCTGACTTTCTTAAGAGTATGTGCTCTGTTTTAAACATCCCCATCCTCAATGCCTAACATAATACCTAGAACATAATAGATACTTAATAAATATTTGAATGAATTAATTCATGATGGAAAGAGATAAAATTTGGGCAGCTTAAAAAGTAGACTTCTTAAGAAACAGAATTACCCAGAATTTGTTTCAAAATAATTGGACTAGTGAGAAGGGGGTGGGTGCCTAAGGGTATAGACAAAGCAAGATTAGATATCAGATGGCTATTGTTGAAGCTGGATGGTGTTAGTCTTTCTATTTTTTTATATATTTGAAATATTTCATAATAAACTTCAAAAAAAAAAAAAAGAAGGAAGGATACTGTATTATCCATCTTTGGTGGTTTTCAAACAGACTAACTGTATGGAAGTAACAGATGTTAGAGAACTATATTTGAATATTAAATGAATTGTTAGATTTAATAGCTTTTAAGAACTCTGTGGTGGCGTAGTGCCTAAGGCATTTGACTGCTAACAAGAAGTCTGGCGGTTCAAACCCACCAGCCGCTCCTTGGAAGGAAGATTGGGCAATCTACTTCCATAGTGATACTGCCTCGGAAACCCAAGGAGGGGTCACTGTGAGTTGGATCCGACTTGATGGCACTGAGTTTGGTTTTTGGTTTAAGAACTCTCATAACCTGAGAATATGCTATCCAGAGAGATGGGAGGGGTAAATAAATTATTGATATTATTGGTAAGAAAGTTCAGAGAAAATTGTAATAAATATTGTTGCTTAGACTATTGTACTAAATCCTAGAGTTCTGGTAATTTTATGTTCTCTTTTTTAAAAAAAATGCTACAGAACTGTGTTAATACAACACAGTAGCCACTAGCTACATGAGGCTACTTAAATTAAAATGAATTAAGATTAAGTAATTAAAAATTCAGGCCCTCAGTTGCCTAAACCTATTATCCAGTGAATTCTAACTCATTACAACTCTATAAGACAGAGTAGAATTACCCCCCATAGGGTTTCCTAGGCCCTGGAGAAGGATATCATGCTTGGTACAGTAGGAGGGTCAGCAATAAAAAAGATGACCCTCAATGAGATGAATTGACACTGTAGCTGCAAAAATGGGCTCAAACATAGCAATGATTGTGAGGATGGCACAGCACTAAGGAATGTTTCATTCTGTTTTTCTCCTGCTGAGTGACTGATGGGTTTGAACCACTGACCTTTCATTTAGCAGCCAGGCGTTTTAACCACTGCACAACCAGAGCTCCTTTTTATTTGCTCTAGCCATATGTGTCCAATAGAACATTCCAGTCATCACAGAAAGTTCAATGGGACAGTACTATAAAAGATTGAAAGAAAATAAGATACTGAATTTTAGAGGCTCTAAAAATAGCCCTAAATGGCTTTCACTTACTAAAATAATGAAATAAGGTAAAAGAGAATAATCTTGGGTAGGGGAAGGGTTATGAAGAACATTGTAAAGTGAGAGCTTATCTTGTCATCTAAGTCAAAAGAATTTAATGAAATTAATAAACACTTTATCAGCAAATTAAAGAGTACAAGGAGAATACTAGACAGTCATTGAAAATAAATAAATTCCATTATCATTATTAATAATTAAGTAATAATAGACATTTGACATGGTTTAATTTTTAAAGGAGGAAAATATATTGTTAATGTAATTAAAACAAATACTTTATCCACAAGTTACTTAATGAATTGTTTGTATGTTATAGATTGTTGGGTTCATGTTTTTCAGGTCTTGCCTTTTCAATGAAAATTTTTGTCACCAAATTTCAGAAAATATTATTGGCTCTAAGGTGCTCCACCTGACGCTGCTTAAATATTTCTTTAATTTAGTTGTAAGTGAAGTACAGCATCTTTGTCAAAAGTAAGTTTAAATCATAAAAATAATACTTTATCTTTCCACTGTTCTTTTGCACCATTCTTCTAATTATTTATAAACAGACTTCTAAAATATCGCCTTGTTTTTTATTTTAAAGTAGATTTCTTATTTTAGAAACAAATTTCTGGGCACCGTCCTTCAGTGGCAGTAAATGTGTACTCGGTTTCTATTTCCTCAATTTGCATTTTTTTTTCATTGAAGTATATATTTGGATAGGCAAAAGTGTTTTCATTTCTCAAGATTTATGTTTTTTAATTCTTTAATAATTGAATGTTAAAAGTTAAAACTCGCTAGGTTTTATTTGCTTCTATAATAACCACGATAAGTTTTGCTTATATTCTAAAACTTGTAAGTAGATTATTGTATGTACAGTGCTGTTGATTGTATTGAACTGAGACCATTTCTTTATACTTTGTGCTTTATTATAATTATATAAGTATACTTTATAGTCTTTATATATTATGACCTTTCTGTATTCAAAAATTGCTATTGCTTTTGTGTTTGTTGACCAAAGATAAGATAATGTAATACAGTAATCAAATTGATATAAAGATTTATTTTTGTTCATATTTTAATTAGGTTGTATGACTGGTCAGATTCTCAGAATCTAAAAATTACAGGAAAGGCAATTCTTCTTGAACTCTTTTGGTCAGGAAGTGAGACCTCTGCACTTTTGACCAAACCAGTAAATATGCTTTTGGAGTGGACTATATATTCTCACAAGGAAAAGTGCAAATCTAATGATGTAAGTGGAATTAATACTTCAAATGCCTATGGGAAATGTGCTTTGAATCACTCATCTTTTCCTTTTCCATTTGTTCTTTGAATTCCTGAAAAATAAAAATGTACCCAAATATATCTATTTTCTATAAACATGTTTAATTTTAAGGTAAAAGGCCTATGGATGTGGTGCCTTTATCCTCTTAGCTTTGCATGTAGCAGGCAGTTATTTGATTATTAGTGAAGGACAGGAAAGTACTAGTTGGTTGCCATTCCGGATTTCTTTTATACTTTTATATTTTTCAGTTCTTAAGGACCTCATGATAAAAGAACTTGAGTCATTCCTTAAAATTTGTTTGTGTACTACTGAAAAGAAATACTACTTGTTTTTAATACTGCCTTTCTGGATGTTAAGCGTTATTTCCTGAAGTGTTTCTTCCTAAGTAGATAAATAAAAATCACACACAGTGATTTTAGTATATTATGTATCTGAAGGGTAATTGACAGAATAAAATGTAGTAAAATATGTAAAGTACGTAAGTACATAGCACACATAGTGGGTTGTTGTTGTTGTTATTTGCCTTCGAGTCAGACCCGACTCATAGCGACCCCTCCTTGGGTTTCCAAGGCATTATCATTACGGAAGTAGATTGCCCAACCTTCCTTCCAAGGGGTGGCTGGTGGGTTTGAACCGCCAGCATTCTGGTTAGCAGTCAAATAGTCACTATTGTGGGTTGTAATGCTATAAGGCATTTGGCTGCTAACCAGAAGGTAAGTAGTTCCGACCCACCAGCCACTCCATGGAAGGAAGATGGGACAGTTTACTTCCGTAAAGATTTACAACCTCAGAAGCCCAATAGAGGGTCTCTGTGAATCGAAATTGACTTGATGGCAGTGAGTTGTGGGTTTTTTTTTATTTTTTTTAATGGTGGATTGTATCACCTAAAAAGATATATTGAAGACCCAACCCTCTGTCCATGTGAATGTGACCATATTTGGAGATAGCATCCTTGCAGATGTAATTAAGTAAATATGAGGTCATACTGAATTAGTATGAACGACTTACTCAGAGGATTGGTGTCCTTATAAATGAAGGAAATTTAGATGTAGACACATAAAGAGAATATCATGTAATGTCTGGACCAAAGATTGGAACGATGCTTCCACAAGCCAAGAAATGCCAAAGTTTTCAGCAACACCAGAAGCTAAGAGAAAGGCACAGGCAGATTCTCCTTCTTCCACCCTCCCCAGAGCCTTCAGAGAATATAACCCTGCCAGTACCTTGATTTCAGACTTCTGGCATCTAGATCTATCAAAGAATTAATGTCTGTTTTAAGTCACTCATTTTATAGTAACTTATTATGTCAGCCTCAGGAAATAGATAGAGATTTTGGTCCCAGGGGTACGGTGCTGCAGTGACAAATACCAAAAAATGTGGAAGTGGCTTAGAATTGGGTAATGAATAGAGGCCAGAAGAGTTGTGAGGCATGTGGTAGAGAAAGCCTATATTGCCTTGAAGAAACTGTTGGTAGATATATAATCACTAAAGATGATTATGGGGAGAGCTCCAAAAGAAGACAGAAACCAAAAAACCAAACTCACTGCCATTGAGTCAATTCCTCATAGCAACCCCCTTTGGGTTTCTGAGGCAGTAAATCTTTACAGAGTAGATTGCCCACTCTTCAAGTGAGAAGAGCTATAAATAAAACTTCTGCTGTCTTAGAGAATACATATATTGTAATGAAGAGTATGTTGCTAGAAGGAGAAATGTGAGGATGATTCTGGTATCAAAGAGAAATGAGGAATATGTTTTTGGAAACTGGAGGAAAGGTGATTCTTGTATAAAGTGGCAGTCAAGTTGGTTGAATTGAATATTCTGTAGGGTGGAAAGTAGAACTTATAAGAGATAAACTTGGATATTTAGCCGAGATTTCCAATCAATATCCTGAAGGTGTATCCTGCTTTATCCTTGCTGCTTACAGTAAAATACAAGAGGAAAAAAAGAAATTGAGGAATGAACTGGTAAGCAAAAAGAAACCAGCACTTGGTAATTTGTAATATTCTCAGCCTATTTAGATAGTAGGCTCTGGAACAGTGCCAAGGTTATGGCTGAGCAACCATTTGCTAAGAAGAGTAGACGTGTGACTCAGGGATTCAGTCACCCATCTCAGCAGAAGCCATGGTAAAGATGGGATTATTCAGGAAGGATCTGGGGAGGACCATCCTGTCTAATGATAAGAATCCCTTTGACACCACAGGATGGAAAAGGTTTTTGAGAATTTTATACCAGCAGAAATGAGGCAAACTAAAAGGCACAGAGATAGGAAAAAATGTAGGAAGATTGACTCCAAGGGTAGAGCCACAGATGTGGAGGCTAGAGAGGGTAAGGCCACCCCTTTAATCCAGAAGGACCAAGGTGCCACGCCAGGAGGCCCAGAACACAACACTGAGCTGAAAGAATTATTCTCAGGCCTTGAAACCTAATGGAATTTGCCCTACTGAGTTTTTTATTTCCTTAGGACATATGACCTTTTCTCCTTTCAGTTTCTCCCTTTTGGAATAGGAATGTTTATCCTATACCTGTCCTACCATTGTATTTTGGAAGTAGATACCATGTTTTTTAGGTTTCACAGGTCCACAAATGGAGAGGAATTTTGTGCTAAGATGGGCCATACCCAAAGTCTCACCCATATATAATTTAGATGATTTAGAAGATGATTTTGCACTTAGATTTGATGTTGGAATGAGTTAAGACTTTGAGTCTTATTGGGATGGGTTTTTGTATATGGGAAGGACATGGCATTTTGGGTGGCAGAGTATAGACCGTTGAGGGTTGAATTGTGTCTCCCAAAAAGATAGGTTGAAGTCCTAATCCCTAGTAACTGTGAATGTGATCTTATTTGGATATAGGGTCTTTACAGATGGTAATCAAGTTAAAATGAGCTGATACTGTAGTAGAGTGGACCTAATCAAATGACTAGTGGTGTTGTAAGATAAGGGAAATTTTGACATGCACAGGAAGAATGGCTCACTCACTCATTCACTGCCATTGAGTCAGATCCAACTCATAGTGACCCCTCCTTGGGTTTCCAAGGCGGTATCAGTTATGGAAGTAGATTGACCAATCTTCCTTCCAAGAAGTGGCTGGCGGGTTTGAACTGCCAGCCTTCTGGTTAGCAGTCAAGTGCCTTAGGCACTACATGACCAGAGCTCCTCATGTAATGGCAGGGGCAAAGACAAATGATGCTGCTGCAAGCTAAGGAACACCAAGGATGGCCAACAATACCAGAAACTAAGGCAAAGGCATAGAACATGCTGTCTTCTAGAGCCTTCATAGAAAGCATGGTCATGCCAACACCTTGATTTTGGACTTCTAGCCTCCAGAACTGTGAGAGAATACATTTCTGTTTTAAGCCACACAGTTTGTAATTTATTACATCAGGTAATACAGTCCTATTTCTCTTTTGTAAAATGATCTGCCATGGCTTTATTGTCTACTTTTTTGTTATATTTCATTCATTTCTGCTCTTATTATTTAATTATTTCCTTTCTCTTGTTTTACTTTCTTTTTCTTCTACCTTCTTGAATATTTAGATTTTTTTTTTCTTTTCACTCTTCTATTTTTTTTTTCTTTTTAATTTTTGCAGTCCTCCCTCCCTTCCTCTCCCACCCCTGGTAAATAACAAAGAATGTTTCTTTCCATATATAAACCTTTCCTTGACTTTTTAAAATAATGTCCTAATACAATATTTGTCCTTCTGTGATTGACTTATTTCACTCAGCAAAATGTTGAGTGTTGTGCAGATTCTATGTTATTCTTTAGTGTTACATACTATTCCGTTGTGTGTATGTACCATTGTTTGGTTATCCATTCTTCTGTTGATGTGCACCTAGGTTGTTTCCATCTTTTTGCTATTGTAAATAGGGCTATGATGAACATGTTGTTATGTTGTTATGTGCCGTCGAGTCAGACCCGACTCATAGTAACCCCTCCTTGGGTTTCCGAGGTAGTATCACTACCGAAGTAGATTGCCCAACCTCCTAAGGAGTGGCTGGTGGGTTTGAACCTCCAGCCTTCTGGTTAGCAGTCAGATGCCTTAGGCACTACACTACCTGAGTTCCTGTGATGAACATAGGTGTGCATATATCTGTTCTTGTCCTAGCTCTCACTTCTTTAGAATGTATACATAGTAAGGAGATTGCTGGATCAAATGGTATTTCTAATTCCAACTTTTTAAGGAATCGTCATACTGCTTTCCAGGTTGTATCATTTAACAGTCCTACCAGCAGTGTATGAAAGTCCCAATCTCTCCACATTCTCACCAGCATTTCTTATTCTCTGTCTTGTTGAACTTCATTTGCTACTAGTGCTGGGGCAAGATGGTATCTAATTTTTGTTTGATTTGCATCTCTCTATTGGGTAATGATCATGAACATTTCTTCATGTGTTTGTTGGTTGCCTGAATATCCTCTTTGGTCAAGGGTCTGTTAATCTCTTCTGTCCAATTTTCAATTGGATTGTTTGTCTTTTTGTTGTTGAGGTGTTGGAGTTTTCTATAAATTCCTGAGATTAGTCCCTTTTCAGATATGTTGTTACCTAATATTTTTTCCCAATCTGTAGGTACTCTTTTGACTGTTTCAGAGAAGTCTTTTGAAGCACATAAAAATTTAACTTTTAGAAGGTCCCATTCATCTAGTTTATCTTCTACTGTTTGTGCATTTTGGGGTTTGCTTAACAGTCTGTTTATGCCATGAATTAGGGCCCCTAATATTGTCTTTATTTTTCCTTGAGAACTGTATACTTCTAGGTTTCACATTTAAGTCTTTGATCCATCTGGAGTTAGTTTTTGAGTATGGTGTGAGGTATGAATCTTGTTTCATTTTTCTGCAAATGGATATCCAGTTTCGCCCCCACCATTTGTTAAAAGAGACCATCTCTTCCCCATTTAATGGATTTCAGCCCTTCGTCAAATATCAGTGAATCTAATTTTGAGTTCTCAATTCTATACCATTGATCTATGTATC